CTCGCTGTCTCTCACTCTTACTCTCTCTCTCTTATTCGAAATATCTCCTTTAGTGCTTGCTCGGGTTCGCCGGTTTTTGGTGCCTACTGTACATGTTGGCGTTGTCCTCCCCCTGGGCGAGTATCATCTACTTTCCCGAGGCGTACAGGTGAGAATATAACTAATTTAAAAACATGGCAAATTTAGCCGTTTTTACTTGCTTTACCTCTTTTTAGTTGCGTTTTTAGTTTAGTAGAGTACCAACAGTACTAGTACTACAGACTCCAAATTCTATCTTTTCAGCTGGGACTACGACTACACACTAGAATACTCCTGGGTCGTCCAAAAAGTTGAAATGGTGATCGAGGTCGGCGGCATCTTCTTGGCTGCCTTTTTCTACGCCGGGGTGTTGATCATCCTGTGCAAGACGGTAGGAGTTTTGGACCATGACAGCGGGTGCCGCTTCACCCACTTAAGCTCCATTAAAAACCAGTTACTGTAGAAAATGAAAAATTTATAGAGACGCCGCTTCAAAAGCTCGAAAAATGCGCGGGTGGAGCTGAAAATATTGATTCAAGCTTTGGTGATTACGGTGTATTGCACGGTGCTGAACGTATTTTGGCATAATTATCAGGTAAGGGAGAGAGAGAGAGCGAGGGAGAGAGAGAGCGCGAGGGAGAGAGGTAGCGAGAGGGAGAGAGAGAGCAAGGGACAGAGAGAGAGAGAGAGAGAGAGAGAGAGAGAGAGAGAGAGAGAGAGTCAGAAAGAAAGATCCTTGTTACCTAGGTGAGCCTAGCCCAAATTTAGATCCTGCTCCCCGACAGCCTCTGGTCCTACATGGGCCTCAATTTCATGTGGATCCTCAATAGCGGCATCTACCCAATCATCTATTTTGTCGTTAACAAGTTTGTAAACTCCATTTTTCTAAAACCTGAAATTTAGAACGATTCGAGACAAAGTAAAGAATCGGAATGTCACCCGAATCGAGCGATCTGTGGCTCCGGGGATCACGAATGGGAGTAAGTGCAGGGTTAGCTAGCAGAGATCATTAAGGAAGCTAGGGCAGGCTAGCAGAGATCATTGCGGACGTAAAACTTCGAAAAATGACTGTTTCAGAATTTGCCACAGCCGTGATGAGAACCGCCCAAATGCCAAAACCATCCGCCAGCGCCTCGTGTACCGAGTCGACCAAGGTTCGATACGAACCTTCAGATTTTTACCCTTTTCCAGCCAAGCCAACTAAAGCCGAGCTGGCAGAAGCAGCTGAGAAGGGCCTTTTCGGAGAGGACACCGAAAACTAGTGCCGTTTTTACGACGTGAAGCTTCCAGACTTTTTATGCGATGAATGCCAGCGATTTCACTGCCTCATGTGTATTTGTGTACGGGTGCATTGAGGAATAAATTGTAAACAAAAACAAACGGAAATCGTAAAGCCTAAGTCCAAGCCTAAGCCTAAGCCAAGCTTAGCCATGCCGAAGCCTAAAAAGGATGAAAAAAAGGTTTTCCGGTGGACCAATGCCCTGGATGGCCAATTTTTGAAATTTTGTGAATTTTGAGCTACGGATTCGTGAGGTAGCCCATTCGAAAGAGCACGTTTTTTTTACCCCTAGGAGTGCTGTATTTTATCCCACAAAATGTTCCACGATTTTTTTATAAGGATTTAAAGTTTGTAATTTTCGGTCATTTGGGGTAGAAAACCGGCTGTAACTTTTTATCTAGAGGGGTTCCGCAACTTTTGAAAACGGATTCGGAATCAGCGAAAAATTCTGCACAAACTGTGCTATCTCACGTATCGAAATCCCACGGTCAACAAAAAACGGTTACAGTAAGTCAAGCCTAACAAAAGCCAAGCTCCAAGCCAAGCCTAAGTCTAAGCCTAGCATAAGCTTCGAAGATGCCCTCTCGCTGCAAATTATAACATTCAACGCCATGCCCGTCCACTGTTGCATCGCGTAGCTGTCACCATCCCCCTCAACCTGTCACACGTCTCCTCCTCCGTCTTCTTCTTTTTCTTGTCGTGTGTGTGGTGCCCTTCGTAATGCTGGTCGTACCGTATGCATGGGCTTCGGCCTCCCGAAATGCCCTTCTCCTCTCGGGTGCCTTGTCCTCTAGAATTTTACCCCCTCGCTGTCGGGTAAAACACCCCCAGGGTGGCAAAGATCAAATATTGACTTCTACGGCCCTTTAAAAGGCACTTTTGCCTGACCCGTAAAATACGGAATATCCCAGTTTTAGCGCAATTTCAACGAAGTTTTTAGCCTTCCTAGCTCCTTAAAAAACGAGTTTTCAGCTTTTTTATCAGTTTAGCCCGTTTTCTAGCTTCCTTAATTTCGCCTTTAATTGAATTTGCTTGGATTTTCCGTCAAAGCCGGTCTACAGGGTGTCCCAAAAAAAAACGAACCATCTGGCATTTCGCCATGTTACATCCAATCGATCCCAAATTTGGACCAGAGGTGTATCAGACCCTAAATAACAACAATTCCGGCTTTTAGCCCCATAGCTACAGTAGTTCTCGAGTTATGGCAAAAACAAACTTTATTTTTTTATTTTTCACCAGATGGTTCCAGTCGCTTCGCGACTGCAACCATCTGGCCTTCGGGCTACCCTTCATGTCATACACCATCACATCCATCCCTACCTCTCCCAAAATACCCCGCTAATGGCTACCGATACCTCCCCTAACCGAAATCCCCTTCAAAAACTACCTAAATACCTTCCCGATGGCTTTAGATACCTCCCCTAGCCGAAATCGCCTTCAAAAACTACCTAAATACCTTTCTGAGGGCTTCAGATACTTTAAATGATTTAAATAACGAATTAACATAATTAAAAAGTATTAAAAAGTATTAAAGTAACTTAAAAAGCTACCAGGGTTGAAAAACCGCTTCGCGGCTTTTCAACCCTGGCCCCGTCCAGGACCTGTGAAAGTCCTTAATTTGCATGTTCTTCCTCATTCTAGCAAGAAAAAAGTGAAAAACGACTCCTCTGTCCCTTTATATAGGCTTTTCCTACTTCCGGCGCATGCTAATTTCCCCTAACAAACAGGGTTTTACAAAAACCTATTTTTAATAGCGATAACCACAATTTTTCAAAATTTTTATGTGTGTGCAGTCGATTCCGGACCATTCTAAACCTATTGTCGTTTCTTCCCTATCCAAAAAACCCTTCCCCGAGGCTGTAGGAGCGGAACATCCTAACGGAAGTGCATGCAAATATACACACACACACACAAACACTATTTTTTTTATATATAGTAGGAATATAGTAGGATTTGGGCGCGGGAGAGGCCTGGGGAAAGGGGGCGTGGCTTCCCGGGAGAGGGGCCCCCACTCGTTTTATTAAGGCGCCACTTTAAAGTTAATTTTAATAATTTAAACTAAAACTTTTTCATAATTTTTTTATCAGTTTGGGGGTTTCTGACCATGCTCTATCCGAATCCGAAGAGAGCTAAGCTCTAGCTCCTTCCCCCTTCGAGTTGAATTCGGGACATGACGGACAGACGGACACCTCAAGAAAATTATTATAGTAGATAGGGTTTTCGTCGAATTAGACCCTCTAAACATTAAGTGAAAATGATCCGGAAGGCGTTCTTGACCTTAAGGGTTTTTCCAGAGTAAAATTAATTAAATAAGCTTCGATTTAAGCGATTTTTACAACGCAAAAATACCCCACTTCTTAAGCGAAATTAGGGATTCGCAGCCGGAAGTCGATGCAAATCGATGCAAAGTCCAAAAAAGATAGCCGAAAAAAACCGTTCAGAATTCCGGGAAAAGCAGTATTTTCGTCATAACTCGAGAACTACTGTAGCTACGGGGCTAAAAGTCGGGATTGTTGTTATTTAGGGTCTGATACACCTCTCGTGCAAAATTTGGGCCGATTGAATGTAACACGGCGAAATGCCAGATGGTTCGTTTTTTTTGGGACACCCTGTATACTCTACAGCTCTATTTTATTTTTTTTTAGTTCCGGGCGTTAAATCGGTTGAAAAGTATTATTTCAAGGCTTTGTCTTGCAAGCCCCTGAAAAAAAATACTTTTATTGGCAGTCTAACCTCGGGTAAGCCCAAAAAACTAATGCCGGATGTTTTTGGCTGGATCCAGAGGCGGGCTTTATGCCGGGGGTTCCGCTTCAGTACTCTTGTCAGCGCCGTGTTATTAGGTGTGCCGCGTTCTATAGAGGTTAGAGGACCCAAGATACAAGATCAGACCCTTTGGAAGCGCATTTGAAACCCAAAGAGCCCCCTCTTTCGATAAGCTTTTGCTTTTTTTGGCGCATCCGGGGGTCGGGTGCCCGCCCCTTGGGAGGTAATTATCCTCAGCTCTGCGTATGCGTTTATTCTTTTAGCATATCTTTGGTTTTTGAGGATGCAAAAGCTTAGTTTTTATTGTTTAATTTGCAGTATAATGCTAATAATTATAGCGTGTAAGTAAATACAGGGTGTCCCAATAAAAAAAGGTCACGCTGGCATTTTGCTATTTCAGATCCGACCGACTTGAAATTTTGCACAGAGGTGCGAAAGGGAATTTAAAATGTTCACAGAAACTTTCAGCCCGATCGGTACAGTAGTTTTTGAGTTATAGCAAAACTAAACTTTATTTTACGTTTTTCACCTGGATTCCGCCGAAACTGAGCCGTGGAATGTATGGAGAAACTGAAGCGCCGACCCTTTTTTATCCTAGGAATTTTTTTATGTCGCAAAATTCGGGTCGAAAATAGGCCATTTAAGTATTTTTAACAAGGGCTAACGACGCCGATGTTTAGAAGAATAAGGGATTTAGAGCCGGAAATTTATGTTAATTGATGCAAAGTCCAAAAAGATAGCCAAAAAAATGATGCTAAAGTGTGGGAAAAACAGTATTTTTACAATAACTCGAAAACTACTGTACCGATCGGGCTGAAAGTTTCTGTGAACATTTTAAATTCCCTTTCGCACCTCTGTGCAAAATTTCAAGTCGGTCGGATCTGAAATAGCAAAATGCCAGCGTGACCTTTTTTATTGGGACACCCTGTAGTATCCAAAGATGTACAAAAAACGGCCGCTGCGGAAGCGGATCGGCGCGGATTTCATCGATTTTGCCGAGCATACCAGGTAAAGCCAACTGCGTTGCGTAGGCCTATGCTAAGACTATTCATAAGGCTAAGCCTAAGCCTAAGCCCACGTCAATTTTTTTCAGTGCCCACGGTCTACCTCGAGCCTACGTTTCAAGCGGATGTCGACGGGCGTTGTGGCTAGTTCTATTTTTTGTATGCTTCTCCGTGTTCGCCTACCAGGCCACGCTCATCGTCGTCAAGTTTAGGAGGTATTTCAAGGACACCTAAGCCTAAGCCCAAGCCTAAAGTAAACCTAAACGAAGTCTAAATCTCCAATTCCAGGAATGACATCATCGTCAATGTCGAGATCAAGTACAAAGACATTGATTTCCCTTCCGTCACCGTCTGCAACCTGAACCCCTACAAGACGTCGAAGGCCCTCGAGTTCGGCGGGGTCAAGGATACGGTATCTATTACGATATAACGCTCATATAGATCTTTTAGCTAGAATCGCTTAATAAAGCAATGCGAGCTAAGCAGCTCGAGTCGCCGCGGCTCATTCGAGCTCTGCCAGAGGCCGGGGGCGAAGGATCAACCCCTACCGCTGCATCGGTAAGTTTTGGCTCTATTTAAAGGCTTCAGACGACGGCCAACAACCTATAGGCTACCCTAAGAACCAGACATGGCAATTCCGATCGGCCGAGCCGCGCGGCCGGGCCGGCGGCCTAATTTCCATAAAAAAACGCGGCCCCCTACGAGCCGCAGTAATTAGTTACTTCCGGAAATGCGGCTTCGCGGCCGAGCCGCAAACCGGAAGTGGCTCGTTTACATACCGAAAAACCGCGAATTTCATGCCAAATCGGAATGGAAATGAGAAAATAAATCGAGTATGGATATTCCTCGCTAGCAGGCTAAATACGCATTGCATCTCTGATTTACGTGCCGGAAGTAACTCATTTGGATGCGGCCTCAAAAGCCGCGCGGCTTGGCCGCCGTGCGGCCTCAAAACGGAAAAAAGCCGCGGCCGCACCGGAAGTGCGGCCAAGCCGCGCGGCCCGGCCGCATTCTAATTTTTGCGGCCGAAAAAGCCGCGCGGCCCGGCCGATTGCCATGTCTGCTAAGAACTACAAAATGCAAACAGCCTCAGATTGGAGCTTTCTTGCTGGTAGACTACGAACTACAAACTACACAAATCCCGAAAAGCACAATTTTTACCCAAATTCCCGAATTTCTCGAAAAATCCTGTTTTTTGCAGATTAGCCTACAGACTACTACAAACTAGAGCTGTTTTTATTCAGATACGATATGCATCCAGATATATCGCATCTGAATAAGCCATCGGAATTGAAAAATCCTAGATGCGATATAGATAATCGTATCTGAATTGGAATCCGACCCACCGAGATACGATACTATCGGAATAACTTTTGCATATCGGATTAAGGGAAATCGGGGCGCTCGGTAGGTGATAAAATGGATGCAAATCGTAGGATCTTGTCTCGGAAACGCCTAACCTTATGATCTTTTATGCAGACAGACCGTACGGAGCAAGTATTCACGGAAATAATGGATTTTCTGCTTATTCCGATATGCAAATGTTATTCCGATATATCGTATCTGGGTTGAGCCTCGTCGATCGCAGATGCGATAATCGTATCTCGATTGCCCAGGCTTGAACCTAGATACGATATGCAAATTGCCTTAAATGTAAAATTTCCTATATCCTATCTGAATAAAAACATCTCTACTACAAACTGGAAACTACAAAATTCAGACTACATGCCTCTCCAAACCTCACCGCCATTTTTTCAGACATACTGTAAACAAAACGACGTAAATGACTACTATCCAGAGCCCGATGGCGATCAACAATGTGTAAGTCTTCCAAGTTTTTGGCCTTCCCGAGTCTTCTCTGCCCCTTTAAAATCTAGATATACAGTCTTAGATTTTCTGGAGATTACTCTGTTCCTTTAAACCCAAGTCCCCAGGTCTAAGCCTCTTCAGATCTGCGCCTCACTGCCGGCAAATAACCTATATTGGCACTGCCGGCCAGCTGTCGATTGGAGCGCCGCGTCCTGTGGCCTGGTGGATGCGGTAGCCGTTCGGGAGGCTTCCACCCGGGACCCACGACCCTGCATTTGTCATCTGGATTTTTGTGTCTTCAGTGGGGATACAGTTTGGGTGAGTTTTATTTCCAGAATGATCTTTGCTAGCCTGCCCTCGCTTCCTTAATGATCTCTGCTAGCCTGCCCTCGCTTCCTCAATGATCTCTGCTAGCTGCCCTCGTTTCCTCAATGATCTCTGCTAGCATGCCCCTGAAATGGCAACATCCCCGTGGCATAGCATAGCGATATTCGAGCAATTTTCCCCCGTTACACTAGCTGTGATTGATGTATCCGTCAGCTATATGCCGTAATTGCAGGTCGACGGCCGTGCCCCGCTCAGAATCTCCCTCAATACCAAAGAATCCCCAGAGAATCGCACCGATCTCTGCGTCAGCATCACCCCCGACGGGCTGGGTAGGGTAGAAAACCGGCATAGAGTCAGGAATCAAGCAAAGAAATTAAGCAAAAAAATCTAGGCTAAAAATTTAACCTAGTCTAAGCCCAAGTCTAAGCCTATGCCCACCAAGCCTATGCCGAAGCATGCTAAGCCAAGTCGAAGCCTAAGCCTAAGCCTAAGCATAAACCTCAGCCTAACGAAAAATTCAGAACCGATCGGCATCTCGTCGTACTGCGGGCGTTATGAGGAGTGGAGCGTAGCAGGTTGTGGCATGTGCGATTGGTGCGTATTTTTCTAGTTTCTCTTTGATTCCTAGCTTTCAAAAGGCCTAAAAATAATTTAGGTGGGGCCGGTGTACGCGCGACACCGGATTTTCCGCCCAAAACGACTGCATCTGCCATAATGGGACTGAAAAGTAGGGGAATTATTTTGAGAAAAGCCGGTGAACTTTTAGATGCTTCGAAATTGAGGTGCCGACGAAAATTTCGAAGTCCGGGAATGATCAGGAAAATACGGGAAAGGTATATTTTTGCAAAAAATAGAAAAACAAGCGAAATTTCATAGATTTAATGATATAAAATAAACACCAATAAAACTATCAAAAAAAATGGAATTTTCACTAATTTTTAGGTGCGAGTCCGACGGCACAATCGAAGGGTGTACGAGAAGATACTCTCAAATTACGACGGGTTGCTGGCGGTGTATACGAATTGCGAAAAATTGAACGAGGAGTGGACAGCCGTCCCAGATAAAGTACGGTAGCGCAGTTTACTGTAGCCTACCGGACCTCTGTCAGGCTTCTTAAAGGGAATGTGACGGCAAGAATATAATTTTTTGGTTACGGATTTTCAAAAAATTCTGTTGAGACAGCGACACGCAACACGCAAGCAAAAAGCAAAAATTTTCGAGTCTCTGCGCCGGGCGGGAGTCGAACCCGAGCCTTGAGCCTGAAATCAAGTGCACTACCATTCAGCCACCCCATTTCAGGACACAAATCGCAGCACATGCCTCTGCTTCTACAACAAAAAGAACGGGGTCGTCTGGCCGTGCTATTTGCCGACGGAGTGGAAAGAGAATAAGTGTACAAGGTCTGGGATAAAAATCTTAAGGAATCTCTGCTAGATTGCCCTCAAAAATGGCGTCTTTAGTTGCGTGACGTTCGGAAACTGCGAGTACACCGACGGGACGGGATCGGTCGACTGCCTGTGCGCGATGCCGATTCGGATGTGTGTACGCATCGATCCGGGCAACGGAACGGCCATTGGTACGTTTTAAAGGGACGTTGAAGCCTAGATCCATATCTGAACGTTTCGAAATCGATTTTTAGAAGATCGTGTGATTCCGTTTTGGGCTCTGCAGACCACCACTACCATGTCGCCGGTGCAGAAAAAGAAGGAGGAGACGGAGCGCGCTTATAATTATGTGGTAAGCAGGGCAGGCTAGCAGGGACCATTTAGGAAGCGAGGGCAGGCTAGCAGAGATCATTGAGGGAACTAGCCTTTTTCAGGCGAACGACCCGGTAGCCCTAAACACGCAAGCGAAGGAGAACGTCATCTTCGTCCTCGACAAGCTGACCCCGCTGGAAAAGGCGCAGGTAATGCTAATTTCTATTTGGTGCCCTTTCTACAGTATCCCTCTCTATTTATTGATTTTTTTTGTAGATGAGCTACACGAAATCTGAGTTCATCACCCGCTGCTCGTTCAACGGACGCGATTGCGACATTAATAAGTATCGTTTTTCAACATTTTTCACCACCCAATAATATAATATAATTTTTAAAATGTAAAATTTCACAGTTTTCACTTTTTCCTTATGTTTTTTAGCGATTTTTCGAACCACCTTGACCCGATCTACGGCACGTGCTTCACCTTCAACCACGACCCGATGACGGCAAATTTGACGAGCGAGCGGGCCGGCCCGAATTATGGTATGGTTTAGGAATTTTACACTAGGTCCAACGTTTCCAAAAAAACCCCGATTTTCCAATTTTAGACGCATTCCAAAGGGTTGTTGCTCTCGAAAATGGCAACTTAAAAATAGTAAAAACGACAAAAATAACCTCAGAAAACGCTTTTTGTCTCTTTTCTAAGCCTTGCTTCGACTTTCCAATCCAATTCCCTAAAGTTCTCTGTTAACAGGCCCTTAAAACCGAACGACAGGACCCTCAAAAATTACAAAATGCTCTTGAAAAATTAATGCTCTTTCTATTCAGGCCTTCGCTTCCAAGTGTTCGTCAACATCGAGGAGTACATGCCCACCACCGAGGCCGCCGGCGTTCGCCTGACGGTATAAAAAACGCTTGAACCCCCCGAAAACTTCTCTTTAGGTCCATTCCGCCAGCGAACAACCGTTTCCGGATACGCTAGGCTATTCGGCGCCCACCGGGTTCGTATCCAGCTTCGGGATACGCATGGTACGCTTTTTAGCGCGAAATTTTGCCCATTTCCCGCGGAAACAAATACTTTTAAAACCCCAAAACGGCCTCTAAAAACTAAGTTTTAATGCGAAATTTTGCTCGCTTCACGCATAACAAATACTTTTAAACCCCTAAAATCCTCTAAAAACTAAGAAAGAATCTTTAGAAACACATCACAAGACTGCCATGGCCGTACGGGGATTGCGTCCAGGACGGGAAGGACAAGAATTTCATCTACCAGACCAAGGAATATTCAACTGAGGTGGGCAGCTAGAACGACAGAGTATTTCGAAATTAAAAAGGTTAAACAAAAATGACTTTTTTTAAGGGCTGCCAGCGCAGCTGCGTGCAGCAACACTTTGTGCGTCGGTGTGGGTGCGGCGACCCGCGCTATCCGCCCTGGCAAAACGTCAGCTCATGTCCGGTGGATGACGAGCAAAAGCGTGAGGGTTAAAAAAGCGTAACTACAAATCACTACAAACTACAACTGTTAAAATCTGAAAAACAACCTTTTATTCCCATCAATTTCCAGGGAAATGCCTGAAGCGTGAGACCGAATACGCGGCCAAGCACATCGACCGGCTCAATTGCCCGAAGTGCCGGCAACCGTGCAGGTATAAAAATACCTAAATTAGGTTGGCGAAATACGTAAAAACGCGTAGCTTAATTGAACGGGCAGTTCACGCATAAAATGGGTGATAAAACTAGCGCTAAAACATGAAAAACAAAGACACGGCATGCATGCAAGGCAGGCATCAAACCCATAGGATTCCGGCAATTTGAGGGGTTATCTTAAGCGACCATTAAATAGAGACATACCTTTATTAGAAACATACTACTAATGCTAATTTATAGCCAGAAAGTCTTCTCCATTTCCTATTCGGCTTCGCGATGGCCAGCGACGCCATCGGATCGAGACGATTGTCCAAAGGTAGGCTCTAGCCTAATAGAATTTCTTCGAAAAATCTAAAAGAATAAAAATACCAAATTTTAGGGCTTAAACCAGCAACAATGCCTAAACTATTTGCGCGAACAGGGCGCAATGATTGAGGTGAGAAAAGATTGTTTTTCTTTTTTTTTCTTTCGATGTTTATTCCCTAAAAGCCCCAAAAAAAACTCTCAAAATTCAGGTGTTTTTCGAGCAGCTCAACTACGAGGCCCTCCAGGAATCCGAGGCGTACGGGGTAAATTTTCATTTCAAAAACGCTAAAAAATCTATGTATAGTGGCCAAACCTACTGTCCGATTTCGGCGGGCAGCTGGGGCTGTGGATGGGCGTGTCGGTGATCACAATCTCGGAGGTATAGGTTTAGATAGAAAGCTCTAAAAGCACTTTTTCAGGTGGGGCTGCTCTTCTTTGACATTCTGCTGTCGATCTGTGGTTGCTCGACGTCGGCGCGCCGGAAATTGAGGTGGTCCGGAAAAAGTTGGCTTCAAAAGTTCACAGCAGTCAACGATCGACAACCGGCCATGTCTCTCGCTTTGCACGATCACCATCTCGGGTCGTCAACGGCGTAAGTCGAGTTTTTCTATTAAAAAAGACTATAAAGGGTGCTAGTTCATTAGCGGGAGGGCTAGCTTTTGACCATATGATCATGTGTTCCGTGTAATGAAATAGGCTCCATTTTAGAAGAAACGTACGCCATGTTTAGAAACAAAAAGCCTATCAAGAATTATTACAATCGATATCGATAGGCGATAAATTACACAAGATAGTCGTCAAAAATCGTCAGTTTCAAACCTTTTTTGTTTTTACAAATTTAGTAATCGAAAAAATACTAAAAATACAAAAACAAAAATCCGCTAGGATTTATTATTATGGCGGTAAGGCTGTATTACGGAAGTTAGCCCCCCGCCCCCCGCTAACTCACCAGAACCCATTACAGAATGGACCAATCCCACCCTGCTGTTACGCGATTTCCCACTCGACAACTAGCACCTAAAAGACTGAACAGAATAAATAATAAAACCTAAACTTTAAAATAGCGTAATTCCTCCTCAAAAACAACACTAACTAGGGAATGGTCTCCACTCGACATCGAATTTCTTGTTGCAAGTTAGCTCATTCTGTAGATCTCGACGAGATCGTTTGATGGGCTTTAGCTGCGGATACCTTATTTTAACAAAGTTACAGCCCATTAAAGTTTTTGACCTACCTTCATAAGTCCTCCCCGCATCCCCGACACCATGGCCTGGTGGCCTAGTGGCGTGGTAGGCCGCCTCTGGGGAATCTAACGAGGGTTCGAATCCGCTCAGATTTATTTTTGCTTTTTGGTCCTAACGTTCCTTTTTGGGTTTTCAGGAGCTAGACAAACTCTTTTTAGATTATTTAACCACCATTAAGTTTTTGGTACGAAAAACGGCTTCGGAAAAAACTTTACAATTTTTTGTTCGAAGGAGTAGCCATTGGAATGGATTTGTATATTATATGCCTCCAAAAAAAATTTAATAAAATTTGAAATGTTGTATATTTTATTCCCTAGTAAATACTAACGTCCCTGGCGAATACAAAGGCATTTGAATGTTACCAATAACTAATTTGCCAAGGTATGAGCATGATGGGGTTGTGCCTTCAGCCCAAAATTTTCCGAAGCTCCTTTTATCGTTCTAAAACTTTCATAAAGGTTAAATAATCTAAAAAGAGTTTGTCTAACTCCTGCAAATCCAAAAAGGAACGTTAGGACCAAAAAGCAAAAAATAAAAATCGTGAGCGGATTCGAACCCTCGTTAGATTCCCCAGAGGCGGCCTACTACGCCACTAGGCCACCAGGCCACGGTGTCGGGGATGCGGGGAGGGCTGATGAAGGTAGGTCAAAAACTTTAATGGGCTGTAACTTTGTTAAAATAAAGTATCCGCAGCTAAAAGTTACATCAAACGATTCGTCTCGTCGAGATCTACAAAATGAGCTAACTTGCAACAAGAAATTCGATGTCGAGTGGAGACCATTCCCTAGTAAGTACGTAATATCCGGTAGATTGATGTGTAAGTCCATTGTCACAAAGCAAATCTATTAAACTCAACAAAACAACAAAAATTCAACAACAAACGCCAAGGTAACAACATTTAACAATCGCCTATTTTTGGCCATATTTCTTCAGCTTGAACACATCGCCGATGGGCGGCGGGATGGCGATGCCGACCGCCGAGAGCACGTCGGCTTTTTCTGAAAGCGATCGGATCAGGCGAGAAACTACAAAACGCACCACCAGCCGTCCGTCGCCATCCCAAATTCCAGCCTAGCAACAGGTCGCCGCGCATCGGCATATCGGCCTGGACGGCGCGCAAGGTTTTATCCTAAAAATCGAGTTTATCAATGGCTAAACAATGAATAGTAAAAAAAGGCTCTTTTGCACTATTGGCGGGAAAATTTTTTCTTAAAACAGTTTTTAAAATATAAATAGCGGAAGTTTCTAAACTGTAGTTTACTATCCTAAACGTAAAAAGTTTACAAAATATTCTTAAAACAATACAAAAATTATCGATTTTTCGACCAAAAATGGCCATTTTTTTACCAAAATTTCGACTTTCTGGAAATTTTTCAAAGTTTTTCGATAGTTTTTGGAGTTAAAATATAGCTTTATTGACTAAAAACATTATGAAAATACTTCCTATTAAGTTACCAGACCTTTCTAAATTAATACAAAAAATTTCTTCCCCCCCCCCCGATAATGCAAAAGAACCATAACCAATAAGAATCAAAATTACCAAAAAAGATGGACTATGGTCGTACCTTAATGACAATTATATTCCCGTGTCCATCGACCATAGCCACGGTATCCTGGGAGGCGTTCGTCGACATCGATCTTGCGCCGCCAAATCCAGGGCCCAGCTCGCCGCGTGTGTATGTGGCTTCGAGTTTTGGCGGATGGCCGATGGAGAACTGGAATTACAGGTTGGCATAAGCGTTCGGTATTGGACTATTAGCGGGGGGCGGTTTCGCGGCGGAACCAAATGTTGGCTTTTTCGCCTACCTGTTGAAAGCTATAAAAATGCTTAAAGGGCCCGACGGATTATCCTATAAAATTGGTAAAAGGGGGAGGGAGGGGGGGGTAAGAGTGGCTTTAAAATTTTGAAAAGTCCAAAAATTGGCCTTTTTGGCCGGCTTTATACTTTTCTTAAGTTCTAAAAGTTTTTAGATCTAAAAACTTTGTAAAATGTTATAAAAATTGTTTGCATTTCGTTATAAGGCTGTACTGCGGAAAAATTTGGTTCCCTTCCCCCGCGTCCCCCCCGCTAACAGTTCAGTACCAAGCGTACGATCTCGAAATCCAATAGTACCTGACTGACGAGTCGTCGGTCGTCCGACTTGAGCGGCTGATGGGCAACGGTAAGAACGTTGGGGCGAGTGAGGACGATCGACTTTGGTATCGTCGCCTCCAGCTGGAAATTAGACGTTGAGGTTAATGAGAAATTGAGACTCACTCGAACGAGGCTCGAGGTGCCCTTCTCGAGGTCGACGACAAAAATTTGAGCCCGCGAGGTGAGGAGAGCGGCCGTGGAGCTACCCTCGAGGGAGACGATCGAAGTGACGATTCCGCATTTTTCTGTAATGAATTATTTTTATACAAACACCATCAATAACAAAATTTAAGGAACTTTCGCATTATCGGGGTGACAAACGTTTTTCCCAAGGATCCATTTTTTCTGACGTAAAAAAGGAAGTGTTTCTCAATTGTTTTATAATATTATTAAACGTAAGGACTTTACAATTTTTCCTTAAAAAATACACAATATGTAGATTTTTCGACCAAAATGAACGTTCAAACAAAATTTCAATTTTTTCGGGATAGCTTTTTCTGGTCGTTAAATAGCATTCCCCGCCCTGTAGGAAAGAATCAGCCTCACCCCCGGTATTGCAAAAGAGCCCATTTCAATACAATAATAATGCAAAAATACATCAGAATAGAATAGTTTAATCCCCGTTTCTTGATTACAAAACGCTACCTTGCACTAAAACTTCATTGCCCGCATCTGCGCCGACCAGCATGTATTGCATCAATTTGAAGTCCCCGGTGCAGACGAGTATCGAGTTTTCGTGGAACTAAATTCGAGGTTAAAAAATGGGAAACTATTTACCGCTATGGCCGTGGCGGCCGGGAAGGTGACGGGCAGAATTTTGATGGGCTGCGTCTTCGAGTCGCTCAACGAGTAGACGTGCGTCCGTTCCCCGGTGGAAATGGCCAGTTTTGAGCCGCGGGACGAGAGGGCTCTAAAATCGTACGTTTAATTTTAAAAAAATTAGTTCAACAATTAATTAACTATGTCTAGAAAATTTGCAAAAAAACTCACGAGCAAGTGACAATCTGCGATCCTTTTGCCAGCACCCTGGCCAACAAAACCGGCTCCTCTGCGACAAAAATATCCTCGAATAACTGCAATAAAAAAATAGTAAAATGCGTTGAAATCCTCACATTCACATTTTCACTAGAAACTTGATGGGACGCCCAAAGATCCACGTAATTCGAGCCAGAAACCGCCGTGAACGAGCCGCCGGTGTGCACGATCGGCTGAAGCGGAAATTTTGGCTCAAAGAATCTTAACTTACTGTCAAGTCTATTGCCATCTTCTCGAGAACCTGCTTTTTCCGGGCGAATATGTGTTGCACCTCGTAGACGAGGCTGTCGTTTCCACCGACAAACAACTGCAACGAGTTCAAGTTTTTGGGGGATAAAAGTACCGATGTTCCGGAGACGGTCAACGCTTTGACGTCCCCTTCGGCGCCGGTGATCACAGACACGGATTCCCAGCTGTTAACATTCTAAAAAAAATACAATAAACAAAGCTAGACATTTCCGTTAATCAAATTTATCCAGCTAAAACAAGCCTTATTCTCCAATACAGTGATTCTCGGGTCAACGCCAGAAGCCAGCACCTAAACCTGTGCTTTAAAAAAAAAACGAGGTGTCAACCTGCGGGTGTGCGTCCTTTCCGGCCAACGGCACCAATACGAGAACGTCAGCCTGGTGATTTTTGATGGCCTGCAAAAAAATACAACGTAAAAACCAAGGGACATACCTTGAGCAAAACACCGTTCTTGGCATTGTAGAATGTGATGAAGCCTCTCGAATCGCCGGCAACGAGCGTGGGACCCGCGTATGACTGAACATATAAAAATTATAGACAAATTAAGCACACCTGACTGAACGTGAGAGCCCAAACGATCGTCGGCAGCTGGCGATCGGCTCTTTCCACCTAAATCGGGAATTATTTTGCAGTTTGGCCAATGATACCTGAATCTCGTAGAGTGACTTCCCCTGCAGGTCCACAACAAAAATAAGCCCGTTGGCACCGACAGCAATCTGGAAAAGAAAGAATGAGATATTCCAAAAAAGCCAGGACCTTGTCTCCCATCGACGCGACGCTAAACAAGCGCTGGTCCACGCCCAAGTTTTTCCGCCGCACAACCTAAATTGTGATTCCCAGGAAAAGGCCTGAGAAGCAACCTCATTGCTCGAAATGTCGAAAATAAACAGCTGGGCCGAGTTTGACACGAAAGCACACAAATTAGGCGTCTCCAAGGCGCACACTGACCAAAGTGAGCTCGAGCAGAGTTGATTTGACTAGAAAAAAAAATTGGATGGGAATCGATTGAAAGCCCTTACAACAATTTCTGTGGAATGTGGGTTGATGATGGAGACCGAGCCGGAAAAGTGGCCGACGACGAGGAAGTCGCCCACCCAGCAGAGGCACTCGATTGGGCCTCGGCCTGGGCTGTGGATCTGAAGAAGTTATCTTATCTCTTTTCATGGGTGTGCTAAAATGATAGGGGGAATGAAGTTTTTGGCCGTTTTCTCGATCGACTTGAATGTACGTATAAAACCGAATAATAAGCTTTGTAGTCCGGAAACTGCACATCTGTTGGTCTACTTGAAATACTTCTACGATACAGGATAACGTTTTTTTGACGCGATTGAATAAAGATAAAAAACCAAGTGTTTTACTTTGAAAGAAAAACACCAACCATTTCGAGTGTTCTAACGCCGCTCCCAAGGACGTTGTACTGCTCGATGACATCGTCGCCGTTTGGCGAGGGCTCATCTGCTGTCTTTTCCACCTAAAAAGGAAATATCAAGATCACGATCTCTTCCAAACCCTTCGAACGACGGCCAATTTGCCTAGGGCGCTTGCCGCCAACCCGTACACGCCACGAGGGCCGAGCCGCACGTCCCGCCGCACTTCTAGTAACAACTCGTGCTCCATACACTATAAAAAAGCGGTCCATTCTCCTGCTCTTCATCGCCTTTAACCAAATATCAGCCACCAAACTGTTGATCGTGCCTTTCTTCGCATAGCCAGTCGAAAACTCATTTATTACAGTCACACTCACCATAAATAATCGTGGGGGCTTGATTATCAAGGGGGAAATCACAGAACGAGCCAATAAATAGCGATTTTTAGCAAATTTGAAAACAGGAATTTGAGTAGTAGGACTGGCCAATGTGTGTGAAAGTTATCAACGTGTACATACAGAAGGCGATTGTAATTGGGCAAAAATGGAACAAGGCGAGTGAATACTTGAGGTTTTGCGTGTGTGGGATATCGGGTAAAGCGACCAATTTGAGGGAAAGAATTCGGGTTACAGGTCCGTGTCGTACCAGCCGCCGTCCGAGCCGATCGGGTGGCCAACCATGCTGCCGGGGCGGTACATCTCGCTGAACAGCTCGGGCTCCATGCCGTCTCGCTGCCAGCCGGATGACGCCTCCATGTCGAGTTCTTGTCTATAATTCAAAGCTTTTCGTCTTTAGATCAGAAGCGTACCGATATTGCGGAGGGCGATCGGATTCGAGCCGTTTCAGGATCCCCGACGCGTATGTGGCAACGGAGCGGTGTTGCCTCCGTAGACAGTCAGTCAGAATCGGCATGAAACCGGCTTCATCGATCGCGCTCGCTCCATCGCTGTTTTGGGCTATTTGGTAGAGGAGGCCGAGCAATTCTCGCTCCAGAACCTGAAAAACCCAATTTTTTTTATCGCAAATTCTCACCTCGTCATCGGACTGCGAGACGTAAGGGTCCCTGAGCAGCTCGTAGGTCAGTATCAAGGCCTCGGTCTGGTGCACCAAATCCATCGCAACCTAGAGATACAAAGTTCTTCGACTTCCAGAACGTTTCTTACCTGTTTGTCGGTGGCAAGCTGGTGGAGGGCCGAGACAGCCCCCTCAACGACGCCCCACATCGGGACGCCGTCCGTTTCGGCATTCGGGTCCTCGCGTAATTTGTTGACGGCCAGGATCCAGACTTCCATAGCCAGCGATACCACGGTCTTGCCGGTCGAGGACGTCTCCTAAATTTTGCATTTCCAGTTTATCAAAGATTTCTTGCCTGGGTCAACTCGATGAGGTTATCCTGGAGCAAAGCAGAATTCCTAACAACGCCCAGCGCAGCCTTTACGACCGGGGCGCGAAGGGTTGAGAGCAGGATGATGAGCTGCGGGAACGCGTTCGACAAACTAAACAAAAAAAAGTTGTGAAAACAATGCCGAAATTACCGCAAATCAAGCTGGGCCTGTTCAGCGAATTGATGCCGCGCCGTGCAGTGCCTCAACGCGCACAACGCCGGCTCTGTCGCTTCTTCGACGTCGGGGAATCGCCGGAGGCAATCGACCAACGCGGCGATGCCACCGTCCGAGCATACGGTCTGCTTATTCCGGATGTTGTTGCACGTCAAATTCGACAGGATGCCGCACGCGCAGGCGACATGTTGCGCGTCTTCGGAGGCACGGACGACGCCGAGTAGGCGTTTTACCTAAATAAGGGATTGTAGAAAACCGCTGGTTCATTACCGGGGGGAGACTTATAAAAAAACTTTTCGGGCATCACTTTTCCCCTTATAATGAAAAATAGGTCCTGAAAACGTGAATGTAAACATGATAGTACGTTTAAATCGCACCCGCCCCGCTAACTCACCAGAACCGTAAAAACCCCAAAATCCTACCAGCTGCGACAGATTCTCCTCGTTCGTGGCAGCCTCACTGAGGTTCCGCATCGATACGAGAATCGCCAGTTGCGTTCTCGCGTCGTTTGTTTGGCAGAGGATTCGGTGTAAGGACTGTAGACAGCCCAGGGAGATCAGCGCCGCCTTGTTCTGCGGGCACACACTCAGCGATTTTATACACCTAAAAATAACAATAAATTGGATTTAGATAGAGACATACCTGAGAACCGTGTAGATCAACTTTGGCTGATCCTCATATCGATTTAGCAATTCGACAAGGGTCTGCGGGCCGCCGAGGGAGAGGAAAACCGTTCTAAAAGTGTGGTAAAAAATACTTTACAAATTTTTACTGACTTGCTGTGGGAATGCTCGTGTAGTAGAGTATACAACGAGTCGGCAACGTGGGCAAGCATTCGGGGGTCGGTTCTGAAAAGAGTTACCGTTTCCAAATCCATAATTGTACATACTTCCTCCATTTATGTAGAATCCAAAAATAACCTTCCAAATATTACCTCAAAAGTAGTGGTGACAATGCTTGAACTGCTCCGAGGGCACGGGCCTGTTCTTTGACGGCGTCAAGGTGGAGGAGAAGATTTCGCAAAGTCGCCACGGCGTAGCGAACGACGACCTACAAAAAGATGTAGTTTTTACAAAAAACTAAGAATTAAAATACCTCCACAGGACAATACAACATTCGGATGAGTTCCGCCAGTCCACCGGACCGGAAGAGATGCATTCGACCAGTCGGATTTTCCGAGATTTTCGTCAAGGCGCCCATGGCGCTGCGTTTGATGGCCACATTGTCGGACCTGAAAGGCAAAATTAAATCCAAAATTGAAAAACGGCTTCCAAAATAAATTTTCTTTATCCTAAAAATCCACCGATAAATCAGCGAGATAAATTTCGACCCATAATTGCTCTTATAGAACTCCTCGCGCGAGATTAGGTTGAAGAAAAATAGTTCTTTGTCTGCGGAATTCGGATTTTGCGTCGGCATCTTTTTTCGAGTAAAAGCAATCTGGGGTAGCGGAATCCGGGGCTTCTTCCCTGGATGGAAGCGGTCTGTTTGCGTGACGCTGCCGGGCCTTTAGGGGGGCGAGAAAAGATGGCAGCGAGCCGTATCCGATTACCGCCGGCTTCAATGGGCCAATGTCGAAAAATCAAGAAAATTTCCGATGTACAACTTTAAGCGTTAGACGAGAAAAATGAGCCGACCTTGACACTTCGACCAATTTCGCCACGAGATTCGCATTCTCGCTCGTCGACTGGTTTTCCTTGCAGAGAATGTAGACTCGTTGGACGGCGCGCACGACGATGCTCTGAAGTTATAATTGAAAATCCGATTGAATGAGGCCGTACCGGATCCGAGTCGCTCATCAACGCTATCAGATCGTGTATAGAATGCATCGTCATGTCGTCGAGCGACATCTAAAACGGCCCGTGTGTGTCAGCCGAAACAAAAACATAAAACAAGCGCGCTCGGGCGGGAATGAATTTTGGGCGGCGGTGTAGCAGACATACCTGAATCGAGAGGAGCGCTTCGACGGCGGATCGCAAACGGCGGCTGTCGCCAGCGAGACGTTCGACCAGCAAAAGTCGTGACGCCTGTAAAGTTGAATTGTATAAAATTACTAGATCCTTAGTTTTTGGATCATTATAACGCCGCGTGATTATTTTCGAGCGTTTCAGTGTGTGTTTATTAACCTAACTAATTCCAGGCCCACATATCTTACCGGTTGCTCCCCGTTGATATTTTCTTGCCCATTTTCTTCTGCAAATCCGGCCTCCCAGTCTCCGAACATGGCGCTGCGGATCCTGGCGGCACGCGTCGCCGAATATAGCCTTTCCGCATCTAAAAAATTATATTTATAAGGGCCGGAAAAATAGTAAAACCGGCAAACTGAAAATTCGGCCACAAAACAGGAAACCTCGGAGCAATTACCTTGATGCTTCTGGTACAAATTTCTGATGTAATCCTGATCGGAGGACACGTGCATATTGTTGAAACGGTCGACGATGGGCCCTCCCGGATCCCGCATTTCAACAAGTTAGCCGAATGCCGGATTTTGGCGTGGTTTAGCTGGCTGAAAATGAAGTTATTTTCTCAAAGCGCCTGGTTAGGTTTTCAATGGGAAGAACATACGAACGTAATTGCTACAAGTATAAAACAATGCTCTGGAAAACGTAAGCGATACATTATATCGGATAATCTCAAAAGAAATGCACGCGCGGATACTTGTGGAGGTCAGCGGAGGTCAAAATTTTAAGCTATTTCATGAACGACGCTAGTCCCTTTTTCAACATATAGAAAGTGCGGTTACTAAAACTATTAAAAAGTATTAATAAACGTTATAAAATGCGCGCGATACATTATATCGTCTAATCTCAAAAGGGATACACGCGCGGAGCGTGCGAAGTGAGGGGTATGCGTCGCGTTCCCAAGGATGAATCAGCCGCTCGAGTGGCTGGTCAGTCGTCCCGGCGGGGGTCGGGGTCATTCACAGGGTGCACTCCCAATGCTCCGAGCCCTCAGGGGAAACACTCGGCGTCTGTCTTGCCCTTTCTGTAAAGCTTGTTTCGAGAGTATCTATGCGTGGATGAAATCCTATAGCTGCGGCAACGATTCTTCCCAGATATAACATTCATTCAATAACGGTTAGACGGGAAATGGTAGCTTGGCAAGAAGCAAGTAACTCGAGGAGATACACACCAGTGAACAATTGCGCAATACAGGTCGCCAAGACTCGGGATAGGGAGACACGTAGCAGAAAAACGGGGGTAACGATGGGAATATTTACAACAGTCAACTAGCACGAGATCGGCAATGAGGGGCTTCATCAGGATGAACAGTTACAGCAAAAGAATATTAGCGATCTGTGCTAGGAGTAATACGAGACTTGTTCACCACCATTTCACGTAGCTGGCCACCGACGATATCCAACCGTTGCGCTCGGCATGTTCCTTGGGGACCAGGGTGCTGGACGGGTCGAAATTGGTGGGATGTTCGTCAAGGTAGTCCGGCAAGGGCATCACGTTCTTTTCGACGCGTTGCTCGCGCTCACTTGCGTACATTGCTGAAAAATCGGATCTACTGGGGGAAAGTAGAAAACTTACCAAAACGCTCTTCCACACCATCAATCCTGACGACTTGCGACACGACTTCACAGCCGCAATCGAAGAACACCCCGCAAATCTCCTGGAAAGTTGTTGATCAGGCGCAACTTGGAGAGCCATACCTTCGGGCCAATCGCCTGGGTGGTGAAAAATACGGCTCTACCCTTTTCCATGTCAAAGTGGATGCTGATGAGACCCTTGCCGCGGTATTTCTCCAGGCTTACTGCTTTCACACGGGCACAAAGATCCTGAAAAAAAATAATTAACAAAATGACTCTAGGGTGATACCTCGTTAGCATCGTCCATCTCGAAGACCAGCTGGCGTCCCCGGCGTGCCAGGAAATTTCTCTTCGCAGGCTCATCACCGGAAGCCAGAAACAGCGCGATTACATACAGCAGTTCATTTCAAGCTACTAGTAACGAATAAATTTCGATTAATTTGCTTTTTTTTTTGTAAAAATCTCGTTGAATACCTCTTTGGCGAAAGGGTGCTTTGGATTTGCCGAATACGTCAGCGAAACAGACGCCTGGGCCTCTTCAGCGGTGAAAGGGATGGAGAGGACGAGGACGGCGCCGAGCAGCGCACAGTCTTCTTTGTTATCCGTCAACTGTCCGAGGATCTGAAATCAATGATTAGAAAAAAAAATAAAAGATCTACAACCTGCAGTACATATTTCTGGATTGGCGGCCGCTCGTCCTTGGCCAAGTTGTCGAGCATCTCGAGAAGTGGAAAGTCCTTTCTTTTCAAAAAGCCATTTATCTGCCGATATCCATTACTCGGTGATCGTTTGCGGCCGCTAGGAAAAATGGGGCATTTGGACCGAAAATGGGGCTACGCGAAGCTCCAATACATCCCGTTTCCAACCAAACTCTAGTCCAAGACCGGAAACTTCAAAGCCTTGGTGCAACTAATTTTTGAATTCAGCTTTTTTTTATTTTGAGTTTAGGACATTCAAATCAGCGCAGTTTCTTCTACAACTCTGGAAATCCACGTTTTTAAGTGAACTTACTTTGAAATCCCCGTGCTCCGCATCCGGTTTTCCAACATAAATACCGCGGAACTGCTTCCAAACTGTATTTTACTATTCCTTTTTTGAAATTTTGATTCAAAAATGCAAAAGATTTTCTGTGAACTGATCACGATCCAAAGGGACGCTTTGCGATCGAACCGTTTGATCTCATTGAGAGCCTGAACAAAGTTGAGAGAAAAAAAGCTTTATTTTTGAGCCGGGAAAAAACATGTAGAGAAGATCAGAGACAAGACACACGGGCATTCAGAAAATAGGGGAAAGCGCCTGTGAGAGGAGGGGCGGCTCCAGGATACACCAATGGCCACGCGTGTACTGTGCACGCTCCGCGATCCATGATCTCCCCATACACGCCCATTCAAATGCATAGATTTTCGGCAATTTGAGGCGGAAGGCTACGGGGCGCTTCACGGCACGTACGTACCACAACGGCAAGCAACATTGGGTTCGAATCTTTTAGTTGGGTAATCGGACAGGAAAATGTAAAAGATAAGTGAAATAAAATAGAATTTGGCGCTAGAATCACTACCAGGCGTTTCCTTTTACTTTCTTACTACAGTTTGTGACAAAAGGATAGGTGGCTCGACCTTTTTTCGTAATTTTCTCAGCGATTTGGCATGTCGGCATCCTGACCGGTCGTTCGTTTTGTAGCCCGAAAAAAGGAGAATTTTTTGGTATACTGGTCATGTCTTAACAATGAAGCAGCAGATTTTTATAAGCATTTTAAGTTTTCAATAGGCTATCTCATTCCCAGGGCCGTTCGCTACACACCAATACAAACGACCCTGCAAAGCCCGCCAAATCTCCCCAAATTCAAACGAAATAAAAATCGCCTTCGTTTCGATACTTTTTGAATTCAGTTTTCTTAGTTCTTGGTATCATTAGAATCGCCGTGTCCGATTCTACAAAGTTGGAAATCGACTTTTTTAAGATTCCCTTTAGTTTTGAAGTTATAAGGCTTCGAAATTTGGGCCCCATACATTTTCTTGACGAATGGAGCGTCGCGTTGCTTAGGCCCTTATTGCCGCTATTTCTGGGCGTGCATAGAAAGGGCCGAAAATGGTCAAAAATTTTGAACTTCAAATCGCTATAACTTTTGAAAACGCCATGTGAATCGGGAGCGCTGCTCTAGGAATGTAGAGAAGAGTCTGGGCTATGTTATGGAACAGGTCTCAGGCCGATCTACAGCAGAAATAAGAACTTCTATAGCTTTTTAGCTCAAAAAAGTGTCAAATTCAGTCCTTTGTGCGAAGCGTTTTTCTTTGAATTCAGGCTCATTCTTTGTGGTTTTTTCACTGAATTTACTTGGGAAAACATTGCCAATGTCAAATCAGCCACTTTTTTGGTCCTGGGAGGCTAAAATTTGTTGCTGCAATTCCGGCAAGATTTGAGACCACTCGGCCTCGGCCCGCCCCCTACCCCACGCACGCCCTAAACGCCCGTGGACAAGACAACGGGCAAATGGATGAAATAGGTACGATCGGGAAACCTGTTTTTTTAACTAACTAAGGCAGATTCAGGCAAAGAATTCCAGAGAGCACATACACGCAACGAAAAAAACGACTTTTGTACAGAGATTTTTTGAACGAGAAAAGGGAAGCATAAATGGTCCAGAGTAACGTGGTGGAAAGAGGTCGCGTTATTGGTTCACCGTTTCTGCCGATCGTCGACACGTCTATTCCACACTTCCAACGAACTCGCCCAACCCGTCAAATTTCGTCACAAAGCACGGCTTTTTCGCTGGCGGCGACTCGACTTTGTCAGATTTGCGCTCATCTTGTAAGCACTCCTAAATAAAATAAATAAGTTTTGAAAAAAAGCATACCATGAGGGCGTCCTTCAACCGAAGAGCGGGAGTAATTATGTTTTTAGCGCTGAAGGTGGCCGCTTCCGAAATCGCCTCTTGATGCGGTTGCGATGGCATCATGGTGCATCCGCAGTTAATGCCAATTAGCCCGCGGGATCCCCAGATACCAGCGCCTAAAAGTCTTTTAACTGACCAAAAGCTAATAAGCTTTACCCGAATCTCCCCTGGAGCTGCGACTCGTCCCGAGGAGAAAAGGGCCCATGGTTGCATTGGGTCCGTTCCAGTAATACTCGCGAATTGTATGGATGGCGCCTGGCAAGTACGACAGACTATTGTAGACATTTCCGTATCCAGCAAGGGTGAAGGGCTCTGCTTCTTCAGCGCGCGCAATCGAAGGTCCTTTCTAAAAATACGTAAATTAGTAACCACATGGAGCCCTAATAAAAAAAACAGCCCTTCTAACTCTAAGGCCAAGCATCGGATCGGAATGATAGTTGACCATTCGAAAACCCGGTTAAACGGGGATGGCGACAGTTTGTTAGACCGACAGCCCTTAATGTTTTACAAATTCGTGTTAAAGGAACGCGTGTACGTAAAAATATGGTTATGAAGAAGATTACACACCCGTCAAGGACTTTCGAACTATCGTGCCGATCCGATGCTTCTGCGTCGCGGGTGGGGGCCCTAACTTTTTGTCCTGGCGGCCCAGGTGGGCATTCTAATCAAATAAAGTGTTTCCACATCGTTTTTAGAAAAATTGAACCATATTGGAAGCAGAAAAGCTTTTTAAAGTTAAAAAAAAGCTAGATTTTGTCATTTGAGCCGGAAAAATTGATCGTTCTACCTAAAATTAAAGTTTGCGGAGTTTTTATGGTAAGAAATAGGAACAATATAAAAATACATCCGCTAGTTCTACAAAAATCTAGGCTTGGGCCGAAAAAGTTCGGGCCCCCGCGAATACTCAAGTAACGGTGTTTTTATGGGACGGCCTATATAAGAAATATTTTAAGAACTTACTTCGACAACTTCCGACTGGCTTTTGAGCAGTATGAAATCCAGTCCCTCATTGATCTTGACCACCGATACAGAGATTCCTTGTGTTTCGCCTAGCTCGTTCTCGGCCTTGTATATGATGACTTCATCGGCAAGTTGGAACCGCAAATGCGTCCCGTGGCGGAACGTCACGAAATATCGCGGGTGGATGCAAACCACCGTATCCTTTTGCCCGTCCGCGGCATCTTGTTGGTAGTACATCCATTGCAGGAACGCCTTGGGTGCCGGAGCCGCTTCCGGTGGAACTAAAAAAAAGATATCGCAAATCCTAACTCAGATAATTTTCGCGGATTATACTCTGGGATAACTGCACACGCACAAAAATTGGCTGTTTTCAACGTTACAATTAAGTTTTGATCGAAAAATCGAGAACCTCTTTGTTAGGAAACAATTAGAATACTCCGGATTGAGGTACCGTATATAACGGCAGAGAGGTAACGTTTCTCCTTTTCTTGTCATGGAAAATCGCGAGAATTATGCAAAGCGAAAAATATCATGGGATCCGACCAGGCCCGGGCCGAGATTCTGGCGGTTTTGGAGGGCCGGGCCGGCCCGACCTTCCCGAATAATTAGAAATATATTTAAATGCGATTATACAGCAATAATTTGTATTGTTTTTACATGTGTAGAGATTACGATATCTATCAACACAGCTCAAACAAAAAAAACCAAATTATTGATCAAAGTTACGTCAATTTTTCTTTTTTGCCTTTTTCTACCAGGAACATTCCGAAATCACTGCAAAGCCATTTGGCATACTCTGAGACATCTAAACGCACTCTCAGCTGATGTCCGGACTCCTCTAATGCATGGCTTTAGCTAAGGTCAAAATGTAGGGACGGCCCGGGCCCAGATTTTGGCGGTAGGGCCGGGACGGGGCCCAAAATTTTGGGTTTAGGCTTAGGGTTGTTTCCTTTCCCAGGCCTGGATCCGACGGGGCCAGGGTTGAACAGCCGCTTCGCGACTTTTCAACCCTGATTAAATATGAATTTGAGTAAAACCCTACCGGCCGGGTAGTACGGACTTGGAGGACGTTCATTAGGCGGATGGATCGGTGTCTGCGGCCGGGAGAGCTCTTGCGATTCGACGAAAAACAGAAGAGACGACCATCCCTCGGGCAGTAGAAAGGCCGAGCCTTCCTCGTTTACCCTAAATGATTGAGTTGCAATCAGAAAACGTCAAAAGTGGCTTACTCGCATCCAATTCGGCCATCTACATCGTCGTAACTCAGCGAGATGATCGAATCAGGCGAGATGAAGAACTGGCTGCGTACAGTGGTCATCGTCAGTGCCCTGCTCGAGAGGCGCACGGTGACTGTCTTCTCATTCATCTGTAGGCGAATATTTGCGGCCATTTTCCGTGGGTGTTCTGAAAACAAAGGATAATGCTTTACACGCACTCTCTACCCATATGCGAATAACTCGAGAACGAGAGGATAAAATCGGAAAAGTCGTGAACAAGCTCAACGTCAAGGAGAAAATAACAATGATGATCACCGAGCGTGATTCGCTAAACCAACGCGAAGTACTGAAGTTAATGGAAGGGTTTTTTCGCATTATGGGGGGGATTTTCGCATCTTTTCTATTGATCGAGTGCCTCGTAAACTGAACCAAAAATTTGTAAGGTTTTCACGTTTAAGGAGTATCAAAAAAACCACAGTTTATAAACGCTTCATCTATTTTATTAGAAAAATTTGATTATTAGAAAAAAGTCGGACCCCCCTCCATTGTTCCCTGAGTAGCACTTTAAGCACCCGGCGCGGGTAAAATAAATAAAAATATAAAAAATAAATCCATAAAAGTAAACGTGAAGCCAAAGAAAATCAGTATATTTTGAACATAACTTTTTCTGTAAGCTATCAAACCGCCGGGAGGCTGAAAGCGTCGTAGCGAAAAAATTCTCTATCGATCTGTCATCACGTTTTTTTAAAGTTCACAACAAAATACGGAGTTGCCGACATTTGAAATTTCGAAATTCTATTCTCAATCCATTTCAAAATAGTTTTTCGACCCCACCTTTCCAAAGTACGGTAAGATTTTGGCAGTAGCTTGCAGAAATAGCGCAAAATTATTATGACAAACTGAAACCTTAGCAAAGTTAGAACCCTAGTGCAGCCTCCATATAACGCTTGCGAAGATCGACCTTATCTGCTGAACACTAAAATTCAGCCTTTAATAAAACGCGCACGAGACGGGCGAGGGGGCTAGGCAACGGGGCGCTCCAATCGACTCACGTAATGCATTGGCAAAGCTAGCTTCCATTTTTTTACTAGCTAATGTTTCCCATTTCATTTCAAGGGGTGCTGTTTGCTATTTTTAACAACTTTTTTGAGAAATTTTCATAATCTACGTAAAAATAGAAAAGCTTCTGTTCCATCTTTTGGTCAAGGTTTCCTGAAAATCGTACACGGCAATCGGGCCCCCGGTCCGTTTTGGGGTTGAAAAAATGAGGCATTTAAGACAAAGTGCATCATAGCGAAGCTAAATGTTTGCCCAGAGCGCCTAATTTGTATTTTTTAGCAAACTCTAGACTAGCGAGTATTCAATAAAGTGCAAAATCGTTTCACCTTGACATCTACATCCGGCTTCAATAGAAAGTTAGTCAAAGTTTTCACCTGGCTATAATACTTTTTGGTTACTTTTTGGTAACCGGGACTTTGTATGAAATCGGGGATTTTGTACGAAATCGGGGATTGTAAAAAAACGGAAAATCGGCTCGATTTTGGAGCCACCGAAATCGGGGATTTTAAAAAGGGGCCGATCGGACGGGCTAAACGGCCATTCATAAAAGTGGTCCGGTAGTTCAGTAGTCCGTTCCGGCTGAATTACGTTTGATTTTTACTTAGTAAAACATCATAAATTACTTTTTAGTACTATGATATACTGTAATTAATATTAGAACACGCCAGAGGGTGCTTTATCGTGAAGCCTGGCTTGCAAGGGTCCAAAAATCGAGTAGCGTTGCTCTTTTTCGAACTGCAATTACTTTTGAAATTAAAGTCAGTACGTTCAGTAACGGAAATATTATTTAAAGCTTATTTCTCCGTTATTTCAGTAATCTACGGTTCAACCGGCTTTTTAGCTTTGAATAATAGAACTTGAGGCCTATTCTGTAAGTTTAGAAGTTCCGTACGTCAGATACGTTTCTAACACATTGATGGCACAAAGTAATCTTAGCAAAGCTAAGCACATGGACTTATAACTGCAAGAAGTGCTCGGGTCCGAGCGGCAGACCCGCCGGCAAGCCTTGGGGCAGGCCTGCCGCCCACGATCGCCGGCAGTTCTGCCCCAAAAGCCTTTTGGCAGACGTGCCGGCAGACCTGGGGCTTGGCAGACCTGGGGAGGGGCAGACGTGCCGGCATGGGTTTCACTATTCATTAATTGCTGTATTTATAGTCTAAGCTATAAATATAGCTTAAATCTACATCCCCTACCTACGGAAAAGAAGTATTTCCGTAGCTGGGGGATGTAACTTCGCAGATTTATCTGGGGGGCCTGCAATGGAATAGTTCCTGATTGATGATTCAGAGAGTTCCTGAGGTTTCTTTTAATATTTGAGTGGTTTTCAAAGTTATGGCTCACCTGCTCTGTTTCAAAAAGCGCAGTGGCTAGCGCACCTTAGCGAAAGTGAAGCAGCGTCCTTGGCTGGCCACTGCACTAGCCTGTCCTAAACATCTTCGCTTAATTTACGTTATCATAAGAAAATTGGAAAGTTTACTTGCTCACTCGGTTTTTCCTTTATTGATTGTTATGAAATTACATACATATAGGCCGCTTTGATTTAAAACTTACGCTCGTGTGTTAGTGCGGGTGCAATCAGATGGCTAAATGGCTGCCGCTTTTCTCAAACCGTGGTCGACTTGGAAAACACTAAATATTTTGTGACAGCAACTTACTTGTTGTCCGAACCTAATTCAACGAATCTTTCGGAGCCAATCCAAAACCACCGCCGTGGTTAGACGCTGCTTGAAACTTCCTTTTGCTGTTACGTTGCCTAAAATCGGAAAATTATGAAACGTGAAAAACAACCTAGTTTTATGTGAAGCCCTCGGACGTCTTGCGGATGGACATAGCAGGCTTCGAGCAATCTATTAACCGCGGGGTACTTCACGACGTATTCTTGTAAGCATTCGCGTTCTAGCACATCAGCGAAGCAATTAAACTATCTAAATAAACCTGTACAACTCTTTTTTTTATTAAAAAGAGACTTGGCGCGCCGAACGCCTCGCAGCGGGGGTTCGCTGGCATCATGTTTTATTCATCTAGACAAGCGCCATCAGCTATCGAAGCATCTATAAAGATGGGATCATGGTAAACGACAAAAAAGTCAACGCACCTTTCATTTCTCCGATAGCGCTAAAACATGTTCTGAAATAAGTAAGATTTGAAAAGTTTCCGCTAAAAAAATAAACCTCAATACATTTTCATTTTTCGTTTCCGCAACATATAACTTTTCGTTTGTGTGATCCTGAAATCGTCTTCCACTAACCTCAAATCCGTAAATAGGCAGAGCCTGAAAGCATCTACAGAGAATAAAAAGTACCTGTTGTAACAGTAAACCTAAAGTTGTATAATAATGTAAATGAGATGAAGATGAAGAGCAGCGCGCTTTGTTATTGAGGCTTGCCGGCACGTTTGCCACAGTTCTGCCCCAGGTCTGCCGGCAAGTGTGCCCCGCTCGAAATTTTGCTGGCAGGTCTGCCGCTCTGACCCGAGTGGTTCGACGGCGCTCTAAGTTCATGTGAAAGCTAAGCGACGCCAAAACAAGCCCAGTTGTGATAAGCTCGAGCTTAAAAACAAGCTAAATTAAAGCCTAACTTAAGCTCGGCTTCAGCCGAAACGGAACACCGGACTACCGGAAAACTTTTATGATGCCGTTTCTCGCCGTCGTCTAGCGGGGGAAAACTCGACGTCTGTCTTGCCCTTTCTGTAAAGCGTGTTTCGAGGGTATCTATGCGTGGATGAAATCCTATGGCTGCCGCAACGAATCTTCCCAGATATAACATTCATTCAATAACGGTTAGACGGAAATGGTAGCTTGGCAAGAAGCAAGTAACTTGAGGAGATACACACCAGTGAACAATTGCGCAATACAGGTCGCCAAGACTCGGGATAGGGAGACACCTAGCAGAAAAACGGGGGTAACGATGGGAATATTTACAACGTCAAATAGCACGAGATCGGCAATGAGGAGCTTCATCAGGATGAACAGTTACAACAAAAGAATATGAGCGATGTGTGCTAAGAGTAATAAGAGACTTGTTCACCACCATTTCACGTAGCTGGCCACCGACGATATCCAACCGTTGCGCTCGGCATGTTCCTTGGGGACCAGGGTGCTGGACGGGTCGAAATTGGTGGGATGCTCGTCAAGGTAGTCCGGCAAAGGCATCACGTTCTTTTCGACGCGTTGCTCGCGCTCACTTGCGTACATCGCTGAAAAACCGGGTCTACTGGTCGAAAGTACAAACATACCAAAACGCTCTTCCACACCATCAATCCTGACGACTTGCGACACGACTTCACAGCCGCAATCGAAGAACACCTCGCAAATCTCCTGGAAAGTTGTTGATCAGACGCAAGTTGGAGAGCCATACCTTGGGGCCAATCGCCTGGGTGGTGAAAAAGACGGCTCTGCCCTTTTCCATGTCAAAGTGGATGCTGATGAGACCCTTGCCGCGGTATTTCTCCAGGCTTACTGCTTTCACACGGGCACAAAGATCCTGAAAAAAAATCATGAGCAAATTTACCCCAGGGTATACCTCGTTAGCATCGTCCATCTCGAAGACCAGCTGGCGTCCCCGGCGTGCCAGGAAATTTCTCTTAGCAGGCTCATCACCGGAAGCTGCGGTAATGACAGTCCTGGAATTCGTGATTATCACGGATCTTTAAAATAGATTTTTTATTATCTAGACAGGCAGTTCTATGAAAAATATAGCCGCTAGGAGCAACGCTAAGGCAAAGTGTATAGCCGTAACCATAGCAACCTAGTTCCAAGCATCTCTTTTCGAGCGTTTCCCCTATATCGAAAATGGCCGATCCCGAAAATATTCTGTCAAAATCTGGGCTTTTCGTTGACGATCTGAATCGAATTCGATTGCTACGAACAGGCAAGTCGAATTGTATATTAAGAAAAAATAGCGCTGCAGAGGTTGCCGAAACATGCGGCGAGCTGAGCAGCGAGGGTAAAAATTTTGAGCAGCAACTTTCGCTATTCAAAGCTACAACCGAGTCTTTGATTGCCACGATGGAAGAAGTAAGCCCGGTTTTCCAGAAATCAATAATCTATTCAGCTGGCAACCATGGTCGAGACCGAAAAGCTACGCGCGATGGCCTCAAGAACCGCGTTGAAGAACGTGGACAAACGAAAGCTCAACGAGACTCAGCAAATGCAGGTCAGCTTGCTAATTTCATTCCGAAAAGGGTTTCTAGATATTGATTCGGGAAAAGCAGGTTGAGCTCGAGCGGCTGCGAATTGAGCTTGAAGCAGCACAGAAAATGGAGCAAGAACAGCGCGATTACATACAGCAGTTCATTTCAAGCTAACAGTAACGAATACATTTCGATAAATTTGCTTTTTTGTAAAAATCTCATTAATTACCTCTTTGGCGGAAGGGTGCTTTGAATTCGGCTGCAAACAGTCATCAGATTCGCCGAATACGTCAGCGAGACAGACGCCTGGACCTCTTGAGCGGTAAAAAGGGATGGCAGGAAGCCGGGGACGGCGCCGAGCAGCGCACAGTCTTCTTTGTTATCCGTCAACTGTCCGAGGATCTGAAATCAATGATTATAAAAAAATCAAAGATCTACAACCTGCAGCACATATTTCTGGATCGGCGGCCGCTCGTCCTTGGCCAAGTTGGCGAGCATCTCGAGAAGTGGAAAGTCCTAAAGTACAATATAACTGCTTCAAACGAAGAATTACTTTTAGGATGACGGCACGCTGCTCCCGGACCCGGCAAAGACGAGAATATGCTGAGAGGGTCTTTCTCAGCTGCTCGGTTTCGGCGTCATATTTAGGGGCGGCTGCTTGTTCGGCCATTTAGCGGGTACTAAATCGTTTCGATTTTTTGATGAAGGCCTATTCAAAAGGCAATAGAAAAAATGATAAATAGGTCTATCCATGAAAAATAAAAAAGAAAAAGTCGAGAAAAGAAAAATCCAAACCAAAATTTTTCGTTCGGGTGTTTTCCGCAACAATCCTTTTTACGTCATTGGCGTTCCCAGACGGAGCGCACGGAGCGAGAAAAACCAAATACTTCGATTTTTTGGCCAGAATTTCAAAATGGTAAGTTATTTTTTTGCGTTTTTCTGTTTTACCTACTTATATTTTCGCAACTGATTAACTTTTAATAATGATGCGCGGCAAAAGAAATGAATTGTAAACAGGTCCCACTATCGTTAACCGTCGATCTAGGGATTTAGACTAGTCTTTGAACTTTTGCAAAGAAAACAACTAGAAATCAGGGCAATTCTGTCAGCTAAGAATGGCAAGTTTGCCCTTGGGGTTACCGGTGGGTTCAAATTCCCTCTACCCGTTGTCAGCTGGGCACGGATGCCTGCGTACGGCACGGGCTCCCCTCATTGGATGTATGGGATGCCTTGCGTAATAGAGGGACGACCCCATGGCCAGATCCGCCTTGATATCACTTTCCATTCACTCCATAAGAACGGCTGGAGTTACCGTTTTGGCAACTGACACCCGGGACAGATGCCAAGGGGGTATCCTCATCGCCGTTACTATGACCACAGCTGGGATTAGGGCCATTGTTTCTAGAAGGGACATTTTTGTCAGCTTGGAAAAAGTGAATCAGAACAGTACGAAAATCCAAGGTTGCCGGTGTTACGAGCTCAATCTCGAGCATATCTTTTTCTCATGATTTCTAGGATCTAGCCCATTATCCTCAGCTAACGAAAGATCAACAAGTAATATCAAATACCTGAATGACTGTCTTTCACATCACGCTGCAAAAATATCTTTGCAGATGGGACAAAGACCTTCGAAGAAAGGCAATGACGAGCTTGTCGACTATCTCGTGAAGTCTGGTTCCGGCATCAAATTCAAGAGCGTGGAGCGAGCTTTTCGGTAATTTCGCCATAAACTGCATGCAGAATTTCCACGTTTAGTTTGGTGGATCGTGGTCGTTTCGTACCGGAAGAAGATCGAGCCCAGGCTTACCGCGATGCGCCATATGGAGTCAGTCGAATGAATTTTCGGTGGCAAACTAGACAATTTTTAGCCGGGTCCGCTCCGCGAGCCACCAGCTATCATCGGCCCTGCAGAGGCGAACGTGGATCCGGCGCCTGCGCCCGAGCCAGCGGATGGTGCCATCCACATCTCAGCCCCGTGCATTTACGCTGGGGCGCTCACGAAGCTCAACATTCAGCAGGGACAGTCGTTTCTCAACATTGGCTCGGGCACGGGCTATTTGAACACAATTGCCGGATTCCTTATTGGTGGGTTTTGTACCAAGTGTAAATGTTTGTATATTTTTTCTCTCCAGCATGAGATCAAAATATATAGATTTGGAAAGTGTTTCTAATGGGTTTTTGCTATGCCGAAACATGAAAACTATAAAATTTCATTGAAAAAAAGTCAAAAGGATAGATTTTTCGACCCAGAATTTTTAGGATTTTTTGTTTTGTCGGAGTCTTTTTAGCAAAATTTCAAACCCTTGTAGATTTTTCTAGTTTAATTTAGCTATTTTTGCTAAAAACACTATTAAAACACTTTCCATTAAGTTATGAGGCATTTAGACTCCTACAAAAAAATGTTTTCAGGCAACGGCGGCGTCAACCACGGCATCGAAAGCGTGGATGCAATTGTGGAATACGCCTACAAATGCTTGGACGATACATTGTCCCGCCCCGAAGTGAATTGTTTCGATTTCTGCGTCCCACGGTGAGAATTCGGGCAAAACCTTTCGAAAACGAGTTTTAGTTTCGTTTGCGGGAATGTGTTCCGGTTGCCGGATGAGCTCGATCAGCTGTACGATCGAATCTACATTGGAGCAGCCGTTGATGAGGAGTCTTTGAGGAAGCTCGGTCGTTTGCTAAAGATTGGCGGTATCGCCGTCGCGCCCCTTCGAGGAGATGTGCACATCAAATTGGTAGCAGTAAACGAAGTTTTTAGATGATCTGCTACCGACGCGTGGAGGTGGACAAGTTTGAGCAAGGCCGATACGCGCACGTGGTTTTTTCCACCCTCCGTGAAGCCCAAGAAAACGATCCAGTGGTCGAATTCCCGTGCCGAGAGGTCTCGACATTGTGCAGCAAGGCTCGAGTCGTCATCCGACACGCTCTTATTCAGGAGGTAACCAAGCTGTAAAACCATGAAAACTACTTTTTCAGGCGCAAAAAGCCTTTCCAGTGAAGATGCTCGTCAAGGTGACGGACGAAAAGGAGCAAGGGTGCGTGAAGGCTTTTTGCTATCATGGGTTTTTTTATTTAGTGAAAGAGACGCAGCTGAACATCTATTCGACCCGGCGCGACAGCGCGAGGAAGTCCAGCCTCCTGCGGTAGCAGGCCTTGAAGATGATCATGAAGAACAAGAACTGTAGGATGCTCGGCTTATTTTTGATAATATTAAGAATGTGTTTAGGGATGCGCTGGAGCAAGTTTTGATGCGAGACGTCTTCGGTGAGTTTTCATAGTGAGTTAAACTGATTTCTTGATTTAGGGCAACACCGCGATGAAATGGCTAATCAGCTTCGTCAGTTTGAGAGGTAAGTATAGTTTTCTAGTAAAAAATAAAAAGTGGTCACTTAAATAAATAGAGTAAAAGATATATACTTCTTTATGTCGATTTTTAGGCACATACGCTTGGGGAGAGAAGGTCGCCGCCAACGCCAACTCGAGCGCCTAGCTGAGAGACCCGAGCGAGAAGCCCTAGCGGTGGCTCGTAGAGTGCTCGATCGGCCGGTGGGCCCGCATAATAGGTAGGCCATTTTACCCTTTTTTATATTTACAAAATTATTAATATATACTTCTTTGTTTTAGGGATGAGGGCCTTTTGGGTCTTCCCCTCCTCCCCCGCATCCCCCGTCCGAATGGTGCAGCCGATTTTCGCGTAGTCCGCGCACGCCGCCTCCTGGAAGACCAGGCGAATGCCCTCGGACGCGTAAGCTTTCCGCTTTTCAGCAACAACTTCTCATTTAGGTGCAATTGTATTGGCAGCGTACTCGTGAGCGTGAGCGTGAATTCGGGGTCAGGCTGCGGGACGTTTTCGAGCCTGCCGCCCGAGATGAAGAACCGGAAGCGGTAAGTGTTTTTTTTTGCGGCTCTGGCCCATCGGCCCAATATGATCCCAATAATGATATACGCACCATTTATACAGTTTTGCCAAAGTTTTAGGTATAGTAATTTCATACAATTATTGCCAAAATTCTCGATTTTTGCGTCAAGCATATGAAAATTATGAAAAGTGCAATTTTTAAAGCTTTCTATGGGTTTTTTTTTTGATGATCGAAAACTATAATACCGGGAAACTATAATACAAAACGCTATACACTTTTCTAAGCAGATAAGGGCCAGATGCTCCTCCCCCTCCCCCCCCTCTTTTTCCCCCCCGCTAACGAATCGGATCGTCATCGGAAATTTAGGCCCCAGACGTACCCCCGAACGACATCCCAATGGAAGACGGACTCGCCGCGGAAATGCCGCACGCTGAAGAGGCAGCCCCCGAACGGGCGGAAGAAGCGGAACCCGCACGAGTAGAAGACGCGGAACCCGAACGGGTTGAAGAGCTGGTGGGCCTCGTCTACGTAGGCCCTCCGCCTCCTCAACCTGCCGCCAGCACACGTGACCAAGCCGTTGGGCCTGACGAGGAGGTGCAGACCAGTGACACGGACTCTACATTTGATTCGGTAATTTTTCGCAACTAATTATTTCAAGGGAATTTAGTAATTAAATACTAAAAAAATTTTAAAACTTGTTTATCGTGATACGATAATGACCGTTTCTCTTGTCTGAATTTTCGTATGAATGAGGAGACATGCCTAGTAACGTAATGGCACGTACTTTAATAGTTTTAGTACAATTTAAACATTTTTCAAGTTTAAAAACAATGAAAAATTTTTGCAGTGGAAATTTTGGATCGAGAATCGGCCATTTTTGATCAAAAGATCCATATTTCTTGTATCTTCTAATCAAAATTTGTAAAGTTTTACGTTTAAACCATTTTGAAACGCTTCCTCTATTCAAATTAGAGAAAATTATGCCTAAAAAAAGCTACCCCCCGATGCCGCGAAAGAGAGAAAGGGTAAAATCCGGATTTTATTTGAATGTTCAGGACGAGAGCGACTCGGACGATGAGGCGGTCGCCCATTTCGGCCCGCGCTTGGACCAGCCGGCCAGCGACGGCAACAAGCGGCGCGCCAACGACGCCAAGCGCTTCCGCGCCAAGAAGCGCCGCATGAACCGCCAGGCGCAGAGCGACACTATGCAGCAATGCTCGGAACGCTTCATCCAGCTGCTCCAGCAGCAAATCTGCTCCGAGAGGGTCAAGGCTTATATCAGGTGTGGTGGACTTGTGTTTTATTGTTAGTAATAAAGGTTAAACTACTTTATAAGGTTTGGTAGTTTCCGATTGCCTAAAGGGAATAAAAATTGTTTAAAACATTAAAAACGGATATTGTGACAATTTCGTCGTGAGGAAATTCATCGAAAAGTCAAAATATGTAGAAAATTTTTTTTATTTGCCTAACTTTAAATTTTTAAAACAATGTGAAATTCTTTAAACTTCTTTCTATTTCATTTTTCGGCGTCCATGCGAACATACGAAAGGTTTAGCCCTCCCCCCTGCTAATGAACCAGAACCATTACCGGGGTTTTGGGGAAAATTTGCAGTCATATTGGCTTCTTTTTTGCTTCTTACAGTATTCTTTGATTTTTTTTACAGAATAACCGTATTTTTTTAGGTACGGAGTCCCGCTCAGCAAGATGGGACTGAAGCACGACGAGAACTAATGGTTCTACATCTACGGTTTCGCCACATGTAAATATTACCCCCCCGAATTTGTGTTTTTTTGCTTGGCATTTCGAATGCACTTCTTTCGCTTTTTCCCCATTCAGCCATCGCACATTTGTGATCACCTTCTTCTGATGTGCAACCCCCAACTTAATTCCGGTCATTGTAACCGGGGCTGTGAAGTTGAAATTTTTCCTTGTTTTTTAGGACATTTCACTCTTCACAGCCCCCTGAAAATCTAGTGATTTGCTAAAAGCAAATTTTGTTTATTTCGCAGTTAATTAATGCTTTTTTCGTTTCGCTTCCCCCACTTAACCCTATTTAGCCGCCAGTAAAGCATTCCATTAGCTGGGCCCTCGCGGCGGCACCATGTACAGATCCTCCTAATAAAAACTTTTGATAAAAACGTTTATCCGAGACACAGATCGAGCACGTAATGTTTGGAAAGGCTGTCAGCCGGGGCGTAGGGCTGGGTCGCGTGCCTTCCGGGTCCCCCGGGTCTTATCTTTTGGATTCGGTGGTGAGCGAGCATTTTTTGTGGTGTGTGTGACTCGAACAATTCTGGGACCGTTAGGTGAATTTTGGTGACCAGAAAAAGGCGAATGATTCGACAGAGGCAAGAGAAAATGTAAATAAACGTTTTGACGTATAAGATTTTAAAGTTTAGCGTCCAAAAACCCTTAAGGCAAAACAGGTTTACTCGTAAAAACTTATAAAATCACAGAAAAACAATCGATTCGGGAGGGTCAAGAGAAAATTAAAAAAAAGAATATTTTAGCGTATAATATTTTTAACGTTTAGAGTATGGAAACTGGTTTAGTAATTTATTAGAAGACCCGTAAAAAAGTTATATCATTACCTTACGGTTTACTAACGTATAAGATTTCTTAGCTATTAGTGATTTGATACGCTATCGATTTGAAGAAACTTAAAATTAATTAATTATTATGATTATTATAAAGTTTAAATGTTTAAAAGATAAAATTAGTAGCCAGAAACAGAAGCACCGATATAATAAAAAAGAGTAAAATAAAAACGACCAACGGTCACCCGACTCAAAATCAGAAAATCAAAGATCCACGATCCCGGCGCCACGATGCCCCGATATCTGTTTCTTCATTTTATTTACAGCCCGGCATATGGTGCCATTTATCAGAATTTTCTTGGGTGTGCGGTATAGAAGCGTTCCTTGGTCTACCGTATCCCCCGGGAGCAGCATCAGCTCAAAAAAAGCGATACGGCGAGCCGGGCCGTGCCAGGCACCGCAGCGCTATGTCGCGATAAATCGCAACAGGCTCTTCTTGATGGGCTGTCGGGTTAGATTCGAGGCCCTGCCGTGAGATGGCCCGTTTTGCCCTTTACAGGATAACCGTTTTGCACTTGTTTCTGGGCCCCTTATCAACGAAGAGGCACCCCCGATCATCTAAAGCATTATTGCACTTTTTGTTAATCTGAGGAGAGCGTTCTTAGGATTAGAAAGTACGAATTGCCCGAAAAGAAACGAAAAAGTAAGAGGCGCACACGATCCTCGCGTTAAGTGGAGTACGTTGTAGGCCATACTAACATTACATTACGCTTCTTTGCACATTCCCATAGCTAGCGTTCGGGGCTTTTGCGATACATTAATTTCATTGTTCATTTACTTTTTGAAAAAAAACAACATTTTCCGGGATCTAGAGTAAAAAAATTTAGAAACGCACAGGAGCGCGCGTGTAGAGTATTCCCGTGTAGTCGATAGCGACATCCCACGACGATTCTCTGTACATTCGCACAATATGGGAGAATGGCTTCGCTCTGCTAGCCACTAGGACGCGCTCATAGTAATCCCTTGTAGTCTGGTCCGGCTACGAGAGACACCTTTGCACATATATCCATGAGCGTTCATTGCTTTTTCAGCAATTTCAGCTGAAAATGAAGTTTGCAGCCCTTTAATTGACCGGTCAAACAACGGTATTGCTTTCGTTTGCTAAAATGTGTCCATTAGCTGCGCGAAAACACTGTGGGCGGTTTGTTTTCGTTCAACTCCATTCGGTCGATGGCCTCCGAGGTCTTCTTTTTGATCGGAGTACATGTCAAAGTGACCGGAAGTGATCGTGTGGGTTGTGCAATCTGATAAAAGCCGGGTTTTGGTTTTCTAGAAGCCAAAGTTTCAAGGAAATTTTACCTGAACAAGTCGCGGTTGCGCATTTTTGGTTTTCAGGAAATCTTAGATTGTCAGGAACGCCATCCTTTACCTCCGAAAATGCTTCGGGTAGCCAGGCTAGCCTCTACCCAAATTTTGCCATTTTTCACGCCCAAGAATGGGTGTTTTGAAATAGAGTGGTGTCTCCCAATCCATTCAGCCGTTCCAGCCCCGGCGCCCCGAATTTCCAGGAAATTTATCACGTAGAAAATTGCAGACTCGGCATTTTCTGCTGGAGCAGCGGAGCGAGGGCCAGCGGGGCCGAATCTCGCGAAGAAGCCAGCAGCTTCACGCTTATCTAGCGGCCACTTGGCGCTGCGGGTTTTTTCGCGGCCCGCGAGTTGCCTTGAGTGGCAGCCGGGGGGATTCGGCGTTTCAGAGTGGAATTTCTGGGTTTGACGCTTATTATGTGAACATTTTTGAAGTATTTCTTTATCTTTATGTTTCTCGTGCTTCTGAAGCAGTATAAAACTTTTGTCAGTATAGTTTCGGCGCCTTATTTGATTTCTAAACTTCAGAGAAAGCTTCGACTATCCGGAAACTTACTAGATACTTTCAATAGGCATTTTTCATTATTTATACACTTTAAAAACATGTAATCTTGATGTTTCTCATGCTTTTCAAGTAGTACAAAACTTTTGTCAGTGTCGTTTCGGCCAATTATTTCATCTTTAAATCTGAGAGAACCTTTTAGACTTTTTATATCTTACTAGGTACCTTTAATACTTCGTTTCATTACGTATGCTTTTTTAGAACATTTTAATCTTGATGTTTCGCGTGGTTTAAAGCAGTATAAAACGTTTGCCAGCGCCGTTTCCGCTCATTTTTTGATCTCTAGAGGATCAGCCGAGTCTTTAGACTATTGGCATTTTTCTAGACTCTTTTAACTTGTTTTAATAAGCTTTTTATCATTAACTTTTGACGCTGAGCTGTCTTCGTTTCCCCGGGTTTTTTGCAGCCCAACTTTTTGCACAGGGTCCACGGGCTCTTTGATCTCACCCCCCTTTCATCATCCGAGCAAAATCGCGGGAGCATCGTTTTCATAGAAGGACGATAAGCCGCTTAAAATCACGGCTTGGCCGTCTAGGGCGATCTTTTCTGGGGGGACGGTTGATAAGGTTGAGGCCGCGGTTTACTTGGCCGTTTTTTAAGGCTGATCTTGCCTGAGCTAGTTTGATCTTTTTAGATCTTTAGACTAGTCTAGGCTGGATATTCGCTTGGAAACTAAGTTATTGGCGTTAAGCGTTAAAACGAACGTTAAAAGTTTTTGTTAGCGCTTCATGACTTTAATTTTGTTAATTTTAACTTCCAGATCGCCATAGAAAGTCACTAGCAATTGATAGCCCTGGGAAAATTGATCAAGTGAATTTTTTATACCCATAAACGTTCTGAATTTTCGTTTTTATGTCGTGCTCCCCGACCCCATACTTATTCGTGTTTATTCTTGTTTTAATCGATTTTTCGATTCCTGGCACTCCTTGCATCAGACAACTAGTTTCCATCCCCACAGACGGTTTGACCCGTGATTCGCCCGAAATTGCCTGGGAAACCGAGGGGGCACACGAGTCACTCAGTGGCTAAGCCTCGGGCAGACGCCTCAACCACCCTCTTTAAAGATAAGGGACACACGACCCGACACCAAGATTCGACCTTCCTTTTGGTTACGGTAACCCGTTAATCTAGTGACGCCATTATTCATATTTATGTAGTTTCTACTAGATTTACTCTTGCAAACACGAAAGCGCACAGCATTTGTAGGAGGATAGGAGTACATCGGCGTCAAAACTCGACTACGTCGCACTCCTTTGAGCACCCCAAAATGTGCTTTCACACTAGTTATACTCTCGGAGAACCGAAAACGCACATGTTCTCTTTGCGCATAAGAGTACGACGTAGACACTCGACTACGTTGAAGTCCTTTGAGCACCCCCTACAATGTGCTTTCACAATTTCACAATAGTTCTGCCGATTTTGTCCTTACAACACTTTTTAAACCTATTGTTTGTCTTTAATTAACGTATTTTCAGCCCCCCATACGTACCTTTCGCTCAATTACTCACGCCACTATTTTCGGGCAAATATTTTGGGCTGAAGCTTCCCCGTGATCCACGTCGCGGGTCACACCTGGGGGGAAACCACACGTAAAACCTTTTCGCGGATTACCTTCCAAAAATACGGCTACAATACCCTGGGAAAAAGCGCGGCGCGGGTCCCAGGGGTGACCTCGGAGAGTTTCGAGATCGTGTTGCGTTGTTGGCTATTTTTGGGGCATGTTTTAGGGTTTATAAAACTGGTTTAAGATATCGCTACTTTTCCAGGAGGTTTGATACTTCTTTTATTGTTTAAACCAATTTATTTTATTGTTTACTTTCCATGAAGTATAATGCAAATTAGGCTCAGGCGTTAAATCTAATTTGTTGATTCTGTTTTTGAACCTTAGAGGCCACCAACTTTCGAAACCTACTTTTTTTCTGAAAATCCGTTCTACACTTTTTCAGGAAGTCTTACAGCTCTGGAAATCCTGTTTGAAAACATACCAAGGCTTCTCTGGGCCCCTCCTTCCACCCAAGTTCAGTAAAATTTCCGAAAACCCCTCAAGAAACCCCCCGAGAACTCTTAGAATTTCAAAAATTCCTAGATTCCATGAATCCCCTGTAAATCCGGTGTCCCTAGTTGCCATTTGCAAAGTGCCCCCGCCCTCGCCTACGGGCAAAAAAATGAAAAAAGGGCGCACGGGATAGATTATCTTGGATTTGTCGAAGTTCTGTGCCGTCAAAAACAGATCTGCCTCGATGTTGCCTTGCGTTCCTGTTC